CGGGGGTTGCGAGAGTGTTTGTGTGTGTGTCTGTCTGTCTGTCTCGTGCCTGGCGGGCAGGCTGGCATGGCTGCTGGGGCTGCTGGGATTGGGGAGGAGCGCCTGCATGTACGGGGAGGGCAGCAGGTTGGCTCGCGGCCACCTTTGGAGAGCGGCCTCCGCTCTCTGCCACCCACCCACCTCCCGACAAACCCCGACCTGCCCCCCACACCCCACCCTGCCACAGCCCTGCAAAGCATCCACGGCACCTGGCACAGCGAGCCTCTGGCGCCGCTGGGCCCCGCCGCGCTGACCAGCCTGCGGCTGACGCCGCCGCTGGGCGCGCAGCCGCCGCAGCGCGCGTTCCGCAGCCGCTGGCTGGCAGGCCTGCGCCGCCTGGCCCACCTCACCCTCGTGCGCTTCACCGCCGCCGACCTGCGCCACCTGCGTGCTGGCCCCTCTGCCGTGCACCTGTCGTCCATGCAGCCGCCGGGGGGCGCCATCACGCCGCACACGCTGAGGCTGCCGCCCGGCGGGCTGGGCCCCGAATGCTCTCTGTCGCTGCGCATGGCGTACGCCCCGCCGCACGCCATCGTGGCGCCACCTCAGCACATCGTCGACCTGGCGGCAGGCATGCCCGTAGCAGACCTGGACAACCCTGCTGGCGGCGGCGGCGCCTGGCCCCAGTTTGAGGGCCACGGCGGCGGGGTGCAGCAGCTGGGACCGGGGGCGCTGGCGGTGGCGCTGCAGCAGCAGGCGGCCGCGCTGGCCGCCATGGCGCAGCAGGCCGCGGCGGTGGCGGCGCCTGCCGCAGCAGCAGCAGCAGCCGCTGCGGCGCAGCCGGCCGCGGCGGCGGCGCACGGCGAGCAGGCGGTGCAGCAGGCGGCGCAGCAAGTGGTGGCGCAGGCGGCGGAGGCGGAGGCGGTGGCTGCTGAGGCCGAGGCGTTTGCGGCAGAGGCGGCGGCGGCGGCGGCGCAGGCCGGCATGCAGCAGCAGGATGCCGGGGTGCAGGCAGGAGCCGCAGCCGCAGCCGCAGTCGAGGTCGAAGTAATTGATTTGGTCAGCGACAGCGACGACGAGGAGCTGCCGGAGGATGGGGCGCCGCTGGCGCCACAGCCGGCGGAGCAGCTGGCGGCGGCGGCCCCCGCCGCGGCGCCGCAGGCGCCGGCACCGGCCCCGGCGGCGGCGGCGCATCCGCCGGCTGCCGCCGCGGCGGCTGTGCAGGCGCCGCCGCAGCTGCCGCAGCTGCCGGCGGAGCAGCTGGGTCAGGAGGGCATGGCAGATTTGCTGGACAGCGATGAGGATGATGGGCCGATGCCGGAGCTTATAGACGATGATGAGCTGGGGGAGGACGACGCCTTTGCGCCGCCGCCGCAGGCAAGCGCAGCACCGCAGGGCAGGGCAGGGGCAGGGGCTGGCACACGCGTGTCCTGCGGAGCGCAGCGCCGGCTGGCGGGCTGGCTGGCAGGCTGGCACGCTGCAAGGCCCAAGTTCCTGTGCGTGTGTCCAGCCTGGGGGCATGCATGCATGCGGTATCTGGTTCGGCGGCCATGCGCAGGCCCTTGAGAGCCGGCTGGCACTTTCCTCCCGCTGCTTGCTGTGCAGGGGGGGCACCTGTTTGGGCCCGGGGGCGGGCCGCTGCTGGGGGGCTGGGTCATGGTGCCCGCCCCGGCACAGCAGGCGGCGCAGGAGCCCGCGGGTGGTGCCCAGCAGGCAGCGCAGATGGCGGCGGGTGGCATCGACTTTGCGCAGGTGGGCAAGGGCTCGTGGCCCAGAGGCCCACCCCGCGCGCCCGGCTGCTCCCTCCAGCCCGTCCAGCCCGCTGCCCGCGGCGCCGCAGGCCGCTACTCCCTCGCCTGCTCTTCCCACCGCCCACCGCGCGCACACACACACTACACACACGCACAAGCTTGCACACGCTCGCCTTCTGTGCCCCTTTTTCCCACCCTCCCCGCAGCCCTGGGCCATGCCCGACGATCGGCTGGCCGATGCCACAATCCGCCACGAGGCGCTGCTCACTGGCGTGGGCAGCCTGGCGGTGCATGCCGGATCGCTGACGGTGGTGTACCCGGGCACCACGCCCGACCACCTGCTGCGCCTGCTGAGCGGCGGCGGCGGCGGCGGCGGCGGCGGCAGCGTGCTGCGCAGCCTGCGCCTGAGCGCGCGCGCGCTGCGCTTTGAGGCCGCGCCCGCCGCGCCTGCCCAGGGCAGCCCCGGCGGCGGCGGCGGCGGCGGCGAGGTGCCGGGCGGCGCCGCCGCCTCTGCCCCGCCCACCCAGCAGCCGCACCGTGGCTTCTCCGGCCCGGAGCTGCGGGAGTACATACAGTCGTCTGGCTGGGCTGCGGTGTGGGATGCCAGGCTGCAGCGCTCGATGTTCCGAGACCAAGAGACTCTGGTGCTGACGCGGCGCCCGCCGCCACCGGCAAAGGAGGAGCGGGAGGGCAGCCCGGCGGCGGCGGGCGGCGGCGCGGCCGCGGCGCCCGCCACGCTGTAGCGCCCCCACGGTCACCAGCCCAGCGCAGGAAGCGCCACACCCCTCGCCGCCACGTGCGCGCCCCTTGTTTCCTTATTCTCCCTCAGATCATTGGCCTCCCTGGCTCCCTTCCTTTCTTCTTTCCTTCCTGGATTTCATTCTGTGCTTGGTGTGCGTGCCTAACATGAGAGATGGCGTCTACCGGCCGAGCAGGCTGGGACACAGCAGTAACTCTACAGGCGCTCAGCTGCGAGTCGGTGGCAGGCAGGAGAGAAAAGAAGATGGCAAGCGGATGAAAGTGCAGCGCTGGCGGCAGAAGGCTCGGCACTGGAATCGGGGGGGACGGGGGGCAAAGGATACGCTGCGACACCAGCAGGGGCTGCGGAGCAGGTGCCGCCGATACAATGGCGATGCAGGGAAAATGGGGTGCAGCGGGCGCAGCGGGCGCCAGGCAAGGTAGGGTTGGGGTTCAAGGGGAGTTGTATGCAGTTTTTGAACGAGAAGGATGAATCTACAGAGGAAAAACGTGGTCAGGAACAAAACAAATCCAGGCAAGTGCGGCGATTGGATCAAGTTGGTTGCGCGGTGAGCAGCGGTGCGGGTGGGCGTCAGGGAGGCAAGGGGTGCGCCAGGTGCTGGGCTTGCCGGCATGCCACCCAGGCGGCGGCACCACGAGTGTTTGTTTATTCATTCGCTGGGGAGGGAGCTTGGGGTGGCTTGGGAGCTTGGATATTCGCGTGCACGTGGCAAGGGGCCGTGGGCTGCTGGCCGGCATGTGCTGTCAGTACACCCAGCCCTGCCTCCGCACCGCGGCAGCCTCGCGCTTGGCCTGGTCTTGGTTCAGAGACACCAGCAGGGCGGACAGGCGGTGCAACCAGAAGGCCTGGTAATCGCCCAGGGTGGCGGCGCCGCTGCCGTCGGTTGGGCAAGGGTGGGCCTGGGCCGGCGGGGCGGCCGCAGCCTGCTGCTGCCGCTGCTGCCGCGGGTGCGCCGCCCACTCCCACGCCTGCCACCCGTCAGTCTGCTGCGCCTGCTCCCCACAGGCGTGGTGCTGCTGCTGCTGCAGGGGCCTGGGCGTGAGGGGCGGCAGCGGCAGCTGCGGCGCGGGCGAGGCGCCCGCCGGCGACTCGAACCGCGCCGCCGCCTGCAGCAGCAGCTGGCGCAGCTGGCGCTGCTGCGTCGCCTCCTCCTGCGCCCGCGAATCCCGCTGCTCCTCCTCCTCCGCCGCCGCCTCCTCCGGACCGGCAGAGGGCTGCCGCCGGTGGTGCCGCGGCGGCTGCCTGGCCGCCTTGCCAGCGCTGGCACGGCCTGGGGCCGGCGAGCCGTCGCTGCCTGTTGGCGGCTCCTCCGTCATCGTGGGCGCGCCCCCGGCGGCAGCGGCGGCAGCCCATTCCCGCCGCTGCTGGCGGCGCAGGCGCTGGCGCTCTGCGTGGCGGGCCAGCTGCTCCCGGCAGGTGCGCATCAGGCCGTTGAAGCGGGCGACCGGGTGGAAACGGCCGCACTGCAGCAGTGGGTTTCGAGGGCAGCACGGGGCGGCACGGCGCGGCCTGTAAGCAATGCGGCAGGCGCAGGGGGCGGCGCTCGAGGCCGCAGCGGCCGCACCCAGGGCAGGCGGACACAAGAGGGAGCAGTGGCAGGGTGACAAAAAGACAAAAGAAAGAGCGGCGGGCGCGCCTGCCCACCTGCTGGCAGAACCGCTGCAGCTCGCCGCCACGCACGACGGCGGCAGACAGCGCGCACGTCTCGCACGCGCGATACCGCTGCAGGCACCGAGTGAGGAGCGGCATCGGGGTCAGCAGGGCAGGGCAGGAGCGACGCGACGAGCGGTGGGGAGCGGCAGGAAGGGTGGAAGCTCGGCCGAGCAGCGGCGCTGCGCGGGGTGAAAGCTAGCTGTCACCTGATAGAAGCGCTTGTGGCCCGCCAGGCCTGCGCCGCACTGCTGGCAGGTCCCGCCGTGCCCTCTGCCGTGGCTGCCTGGAAGGGCCGCGGCGCCGCCGCCGCCGCCGGGCGGGAAGCACGCCAGAGCCGCCAGCCCCTGGGCCGCCTCCACGTGGTCATCCTGAAGCTCGCACTGCATGTTCTCCGCGCTGCAGGGTGCCGATGGCTGGGCGGCGCAGGGAACACCTTCACGCCAGATATTACGCCCTGGTGGGCTCTCTGTCGGGGGACGACCCAACCCAGGAGGCTTCTATCGAATGCAGTGAGTGCTGCGGAGGGCGTGGGGCCCCTCGGCCGAGCGGCTGAGGGGGGGGCTGGGCTACGTAGCCCGTCCCTGTTCGGCTCGCCTGCACGTGGAGGTGCCCTGGCTGCCGCGTTTAGCTGCCAGAGAGATCAGACTGGGAAAAAGAGCGCGGGGGAGCGGGATTTAGGGCGCTGCGGTGAAGTGTCGACTCAGGCCTCACTCCTGGAGCATATTTTTAAGAAAGGAGGTTGTCGCACACAATTCGTTGAACTGCAGAGCCAAACCCTTGGGTTTGGGCCTGCAACTGGATCACAATGATTCGAACTACAAGAAAATCCCCCAGCGGCCGCCGTTTGGGGCTTGCTCAGGCAGCGAGCGGCTCCCCGCCCGTCCCGCGGCTGGGGGGCGCAGCCGTGTAGGCCACCACCTGGGCAGTGCACGTCCTGGGGCTTGCAACCAGGCCTGAGGCGGCCCACAAGTCTCTTCGGGGATGGCTGATGGATGGAGGTGCAGGGGGCGGGCGCGGCGAGCCCTCCCTCCAATGCGCCACCCCACAAGCGTACCAGCGCACGCCACACCAGCAGCGTGCCTGGCGCCTCCCCACCACGTCCCAACCCCCCAAAAACTGCTGGCACCCCAAGGCCTGCGTGGCAGTACACCCCAACAAGCATGGGCCCCTCCCGACTGTGCTCTGCTTTGCTTTGCTTAGGATGAGGTTACAGCCGCGCGCTGCCGGGGGCAGCAGGCCCGCGCCGCATGCAGCACACACAGCCCGCATGCGGCCGCCGGCCAACACAAACTATGGGCCCCGGCAGGCGCGCTGCAGCCAGCACCGCCATCCATCCCTCATCGTCCTTCCGAGGCAGGGTCCAAAGGTCCGCCGCCGTGCCGCGGCGCCCCACCTCTCTCGGGGCCGCCTCCCGGGCCCCGCGGGCCGGCCGCTCGCACTGAGGCAAGCCGGCCCGCAGCCGCTGCCGCCGTCGCCGCTGGCGCCGCGGCCTCCTCCTCCTCCTCCTCCTCACTTCAGGGGGATGAAGCGGGAGCTGTTGGTGGAGCCGATGCCGGGGCGGCCGTGGCCCACTGGCTTATAAGAGATGGAGAACTCAGCCAGGTAGTGACCAATCATGTCGGGCTTGACCTCAACCTGTGAGCAGGCAGACGGGACAGCGGGGACGGGCGGATGTCACCCAGGGGCCGGCAGGCAGCGGGGTATGGACCAGGAGGCAGGCAACAGGGGAGGCACGTGAGGCTGGCCGTGCATCCCGGAAATGGGCGCAGCCCACTCCTGACAGCAGCGGCCAGGCGGCATCCCACACCACGCAGCACAGGGCCCGGGCAGCCCGGCAGCAACGCCAGCCAGGCCGCGGCCAGAGGCTTAGCCGGGCGGCCCACCTGGTTGAAGGTCTTGCCGTTGTACACGCCCACCACGGAGCCAATCATCTCAGGAATGATGATCATGTTGCGCAGGTGGGTGCGCACCTGCGTAAGGGAGGGAGGATGAGGAGGGTGGGAAGACAGGGCAGGTGGAGGGCAGACAGGGCAGGGCAGACTGGGCAGCGGGCCGGGAGGGCGGCGCAGGCAGGTAGGGGAGAGAGGAGGGCGGCAGCCACATGCGGCGCTGCCGAGGGCTGGGAAAGGGTGGGGCTGCGATAGCAACGCCAGGCTGTGCGCCGCTCACGCCGGCGCTGCCGGCCCCCAGCTGCAGCCTGGCTGAGCGCGCTGCGCCTCGCACGCTGCCAGCAGCGCCGCCCGCTGCCGCCTGCTCCTCCGCAGCCGCGCCGCCACCCCCACAGCTGCCCGCGGTCGGCACCAGCAGCTGGCCCAGCAACCGCAGCAAACGTGCGCCACACCACAGGCAGCACGCGACGGCAGGGGCTCCAGCGCCGGAACAGCTGCGGCATGCAGCACGGCAGCGCACAGGTATACACACGGCAGGGCCGCCGCCGCCTGCTCCTCACCGCATCGGGCTTCTCGCCAGGGGGCGCCTCCTTCTTGGCCTTGCGCAGCTTCTTGATCAGCGCCAGAGCCTTGCGCTTGAGGCCGCGCTGGAACCTGCGGCCAAGCAGAGACGGCGAGCCACACAATCGCGCACGGCGGTCGGCATGGTGGCGGATGCAGCGACGCGGGCAGCGGCAGCATGCGTTGGGTGCTGTTGGCGGAGCGTCGGCTGCGCCACGGCTGTGCCGCGGTGCTGCCCAGCAGAGCCCCAGGCGGCGCCAAGGCTGCAACACTGCCGCTGCCCTCGCTGCGCTGCCAGCCGGATGTGCTGGGAACTGCCGCTTGCGGCAACCCATTGCACCCGGAATCAACGCTGGGTTGAGGTGCCGCGGCTGCGCAACACTTCCCCGCCGCATATCTCCCCTCCGCCGTGCAAGCAAGCTGCGCCAAGAGCTGGCCTGCCTCAGGGCGATGGCTGCAGCTATCATGATCAGCGCTGCCTTCGCGCCACTCCAGCCAGTTTCCCTACTGCTGTTGCTGCTGCTGCTGCGTGCCTCGCTGAGCAACGCAAGGCAAGCAGGCGCGGCGAGCAGGTGGCGGCGCGGCAGCGGGCCCGCCTCGCACCTGCGGCGCTGGCGGGCGGCAAAGAGCTCCACCAGCTCATCGGTGGACATGTCCAGCAGCTGGTCGAGGTCCACACCCTGCGCAAGAGTGAGGGAGCAGCGGTGAGGGCCGGACATCGAGCGTCGGTCCGCGCATGGCGGGCCCCGCCGTTGCTTCTAGCTGTGTCCCGCATTTGGGGCGCTGTTGGCGCGCCCGGGGGCGTCATGCGGGGCGCCGGCAAGCGCAGGCCGGCCCATCAGCCGCTGCTGGAGTCCAGGCTGCCATATGGCGCATTGAATGGCGTCCTGGGGTGCTCAGGGCCGTCTATGAGGCGCCCCGATCCCTCCAACGCCGCCAGCACTCACCCTGAACTGGTACTTGCGGAACGTTCGCTTCTTTGTCCCCTCGTCAGCCATGGTGAAGTGTAGATCCACCACGAGCACCCGGGCAGACAGAAAGAGGGCTGCGTGGGCCTCTGGCGGGAGAAAACCACGTGTGCACGGTGCCAGCTAGGACCCTGGAACTCAAGGCGGTGCATGTGGGCGCACGAGCACGCTGGGCTTGAATTGCGATGCCTACATGAGGAACAATAAGGTGCAACGCGTCCCGGCCGCTGGCAACGTGACTCATTTGTCGCTGGCCGGTGAAAGGCCAAGGCCCTCCCCCAGGTTGAAAGGGGCATGCTGCACTTCAGGGCCTCGTGCACTCGCGATATCCGCATCCAGCGCATCCATCAACCACAGTGTGTGCGGCGCCTCCCCGCCTGCCGCCACTCGCTCGCACAGAGCAGGGATTTCAGTGCTCGGAAAGGTTGTTGTCCTGAAGGGTACGTTCAATTCATTTGTTCACGCAATGCTAGTATCCAATCTCTACTCAATCCCGCCGCGCCGGAGCAGGCAGGATGCCGCAGGCTTCCCACTCCGCTGTGCCGCGCCGGCCGCGTGCCAGCTCTCCTCCTCTCTACTTTCCGGCCATGTAATCCTGGCCCAGGCGCCACAGCACTGAGAAGAGCAGGCCCTGCGTGCGCACACAGGCACCAGGAGGCAGGCAGACGCATCAGGCGCATGGCGCGCAAGCCGAGCTATATGCACATGGCGACGGCTGATCAGCCATGCCCACCCACCCATGCGCACAAACAGCGGAGCTGGGAGGGACAGGAGCTGCACTCTAGCCAACACACACACTCTGCCAGGCACTGCCGGCACGCCCACTCCGCCAAGGCCCACCTGCATGCCATTGGCCACAATCTTGGTCTTCAGCCCCCGCCCAAACAGGCCAATGACGCCGTCCTTCTCCACCACCATCTGCGGGGGGGCCGGGCAGCAGTGGCAGGCAGAAGATCGTGAGGCAAAGGGCGCAACAGGCTGGGCCAGCGATGCCGACCAGCAGTGGTCATGCCAATGCCAGGGCGAGGCATTGTGCTTGGGGTTTAGCCTGCTGCAAGCTGCCGCGCTCCCCGCTTGCCAGCCGCCCCCCACCTTGACAGCCTGAGGGTAGGTCAGCGGCTCGGTGGCCGTCTGTTTGGTGGTCTTCACCACTCGGATGCTGTTGGAGCACGTGTCTGCGGCAGGCCGGGGCAGCATGCAAGACACCCCACCAGGGTAATGGTAAGGCGGGCCAGCAGCCAAGGGGCAGAGGCTGCCCGCCGCAACGGCCAAGCCCAGCCGGAACGGCCGTGCTGGCAACTGTGCCGCCTGGGAACAGCAGCCACGCCTTGCTGCTCACTGCGCACACAGCGCAGCCACCCCTCCACGCACACCCCCTCCCTGCACAGCCGCCACGCTGGCCGCGCCTGCCACGCCGCCCACGCTGGCTGCCGCACGCCTCACCCGACACGGCCGAGGCGCAGAAGCCGATGAAGGCGGAGCGCAGCAGGCGCTTGGGCAGGTCGTCGTACTGCTCCAGGACGTGGTTGAGGTAGTTGTACACCGCAAACCTGGGGGGGAGGGGTTGTGGGGTGTGGTGGGGTGTTGTGGGGGGGGTGTTGGTGTTTCGGCGACGGAGCGGCGGGTGAAGGGCAGGCGTGGTGCTGTGGCCGGAACATTGTGGCTTGCATCACACCGCCACCGCCACCGGCGCCACTGCCACACACGCGCGCGCGCGCGCACACACACACACACACACACACACACACACTCGCGCGCACGCACACAAACACGCAGCGCAAGGGTCGCACGCGGGCGCCGCCCGGCAGCCCGGCGTCTCACCAGGGGTAGTGTCCCACAAAGGTGGCGGCGGAGGCGGCCAGGGCGCCGTGGTAGAGCACCCCGGGCCCACCCACCCGCACCTTCTGCACCAGCTTGCCAAACCCGCCCTTGCCCTCCACCTGCGCGCGCGGGCGTGCGCCACACGGTAACACAGGTGTGCGTCTGGCTGGGCAGGGCAGGCGTGGGGGTGGTGCTGGGGCCTGCTGATGGCAGGGCCCATGCGACTGGGTGTGCAGGTGCCGCGGCCTTGGTGCGCCTGGCAAACACACAGGAACACGCACCACAACCACCACCGCCACCTACACCACCACCACGCCACCACCAGACACCGCCACGCCGCAACAGGAACCACAACAAGGCACCCCCCACCTGCATGATGGTCTTGCAGGCGTCCACCGGCATGAGGAAGATGCGGAAGGAGGCGGCGGCGCCGCTGGCCGCCATGGTCTTAAGGGCGACAGGCATGTCGACGCCCTCCAGCAGGGCCAACATGCCTGTGGGGAGGTGCAGGCGGCCGGGTGGCGCAGGCAGGTTGCTGCGCGCGGCATGCTCGACCCTGCCGTAACCAGACTCAAGCCACCACCACCAAGCAAGCACAAGCCTCGCCGGCTCGGCGCGGCACACAGGAGCAAGCGGGAGCCCGACGGGGGGCGCGTCCGGCAGCAGCAGCAGCAGCGCCGGCGCGTGCGCCGCCTGCACCGGGCCGGCGTGGCGCGGCGGCGCCGCGCACCCGCATTGGCCGCTGTGTCGCCGAACCGGCTGAGCGGGCCCTGCAGGAGGGCGGGTGCCAGGCCGCGGTAGAAGCGCGTCACGCCGCCCTCCTTGTACAGGTGCTTGAGCGCGTGGGTGGTGGTGGTGCCGTACCTGCCCGAGACATGCGGGGCGGAGGAGGGGCGAGGGCGAGCGTGTGTGCACGGCGTTGGGAGGGCGAGCGCATGCGTGCCAGCACCGGCCAAGACAGGCCAGGCTGCTGATGAGGCGCATTGCTCACCGGTACTGGTAGTTGATAGTGGTGCGAAGCCACATCAAGGACAGCACCTGCAATGAGAAGGCACACCCAAGCAGTTGCAGGCAGGCACCAGATAGCCCAGCCCAGCGGCGCCGTGCTGCGGCGCCTCCAGGCGGGCCACGCCCACCAAGCAGCCGCCCGGCGCGCCGCCGGCGCACGCCGCGCCCCGGCCGCACCTGCAGCCCCATCGCCGCAGCGCCGGGGATGCCGCCACCCAGGGCCCGCTTGCCCGCCCGCCTCAGCGTGTCGGATAGCGGCTCCTTCTCCTTGCTGCTGTAGGCCGCCGCGGGCACCAAGTTGGGCACGGCTGGCATGCTGGCGGCGGCGGCGGCGGCGGGAGGCAGCTCCGCCGCCAGCGCCGCCATCTGCTGCGCCAGGCTAGCCGCCGATGTCAGGGGTGGCGCTTGGGGCAGGGCCCGCCCCGCCTGGAAGCTGGGGACCGCCCTCTGAGCCAGCAGGCTTGGGCGCACGGTGGTGGGGTCGATGGGCAGGGCATACAGCCCCTCGGGTATGAGTCCCAATAGCACCATGGTGTGGGCTCGGTGCCCCGCCTCTCAAGTCGCTCAGAAGCTCTCGCCAGGTGCGCCAAAGCCAGACCCCTCGCACAGCTCTTCCACTTCTCCGGCACCTTTGCACGCCTGCGAGCCTCTGAGACGGTGAATGATGCAGATGCAAGAGTTGATGTCGCACTGGAGGCCAATTTCAATCCTGGGGCTCATGTCACATCCAGCTGGATGGCTGACGCGTCATGACGGCGGCAGCTCCTCTGTGCGACTCCCGTCCCCATCTCCCTCAACCACAGCTAATTCTGTGACGCTTTACTGTGGCTCACAGCTGCTGGCCGCCACTGCAGCACGAATGGCGCCATAGCTGGGCGGCTCGGGGATGCAGCAGTGCAGTGGCTGGCCGGTGGCGGGGTGCGCCTCCAACTGCAGCTCAACCGCCCACAGGCACAGCGGCAACGCCAGCCTGCGCGTCACGTCCGCCGCAGCCGCAGGCAGCGCGCCGCCCGGCTGGCACAGCACCGCGTGCTCCTGCGCTGCCGCGGTCGCCGGCGGGGCGGCCGCGCAGCCGCCGCCGCCGCCGGTGGCAGCGTCGGCGGGAAGCCAGGCATGGTCTTCAGGCGGCATGGCTTGCCCAGACCCTAACCGCTGCGTGGCATAGCCAAAGGAGTAGCGCGTCTCTCCCAGCAGCGGGTGGCCCAGGAGCGCCATGTGCCGGCGCAGCTGATGCTTCCTGCTCTTGGGGGCCAGTGCAGTGGGGCAGTGCGGGTGTTGACAGCTGGCGAGCGTGCACAGCACCGCGCCGAGCACCGAGTCCCTGCCACGGCCCTTGCTGTGTGCCTCCGGCGCTCCCACGCCCCGCTGCACCCAAACCCACCTCCCCGTGTGCGGCCAGAGGTCCACTGTCGTGACCCAGATCGCCGGCTGAGGCGCCGCCAGCGGCGCGGCCGGGCGCAGGCCCAGCGCTGCCAAGTCCACCCGCGTGTGCTGCGCCGCCGCATACTCCGTCTCGCACCGCTTGCCATCCAGGCAGTACCGCACCAGGCCCCGCCCCTCCAGCCGCCCCCACACCAGCGCACGGTACCGCTTCGTCACCTGTCGGTCGGCCAGCAAAGCAGCCGGGATGGACAGCAGCAGTGCGGATCAGTGGCAGCGGGTCGGCCAGCGGCCAGAGTCAGGTGGGTGCTACGGATGAGGGGATACCAGCCAGAGTGGCAAGGCTGGAGGCCAGAACAGGGGCGGCAGCCACGAGCCAGCCAGCGGATCCGCTCACCCTGCGCTGCATAAAGGCGGCGCTGAGCTGGGTCTGCGCCAGCCGCGTCTTGGCCACCACCACCAGGCCTCCCGTCGGCTCATCCAGGCGGTGCACGTGGCGGGGCCTCCGCAGCGCCCCCAGCTCCCCCGTGGGCTGCAGCTGGGCGGCCAGCAGCTCGTACACGCTGGGCACGGCCTGGGCGGCGGCGCTGCTGCTGCTGGCGCCGCTGGCGGCGCCGGCGCCGGGCTGGCTGGCGCCTGTGGCGGCACTGCCGGTGGCGTTGTTGGCACCGCGGGCTGCACCGCGGTGGGGCGGCGTGTCTGTTGGGATGCCTGGCGGCTTCACCACGCATGCCAGGTGGCTGTCCTCATACGCAACGCCTAGCCTGTACCTCCCCGCCGCGGCAGCGCCGGAGGGCATCCACGCCTCCGCCGCACCCGCCGCCGGCTGCGGACACTGCTGCAGTGCAGCCGCGCCCTGCCGCTGCATGCACTGCAGCAGCTCACCGCCCTGCAGCATGCTGCGGTTCGGCGGCACAAGTGGGGGTGCTCCGGTTTCTTTGCCGGTACATCCCGACCCAGGACGTAGAGAGAGCGGGTGGTGCCTGCTACACCGACCGGCTGCTCGGTTTGCCACTAAAGCAGCACCATGCTTCGGCAGCAGAGGCAGAGGGTTCAGGCACCGGCAGCACTGGAAGCAGGCAGGCAGCATGCGCGGCCCTCGCTTGCCCTCGGGAAAGGCTCACATAGAGGGGGCGGTGGACTGCACGCCGTCCACCCGCAACTCCCTCCGCCGCACCGCGCGCTTGGCAGAGGTGATGGAGGGGTAGCGGTCGGGCTGCAGCAGCTGCAGCGCCTCATCTAGGCGACACGGCGGGCCCGCAGGCGGCAGCCGCGCCTCCCACGCCACCGACGTGAGCTTGCCGGGCGGCGGCGGCGGCGGCGGCGACCCTGTCGGCGCCGCCATGCATCGCTGCCTGTGTGTGGAGGGGTTCCTGCCGATCGGCAGGGCTGTTGAGCGGCGCTGCGCGAAAGTGTGGAGCCGGGGCCCCAAAACGAGGGAAGGCAGGATGGGCGGGTTGGCGGGCACGGGGGGGTCCCAGACGCCAACAGCAAGGGTGAGAAGGTGTGAATGGTCATTCAGCTGTCGGGCAAGCGCAGATCTGTGTGTTTCCATTATTAGGAAACAATGTGCTGTGCCGGGCTCAGCATACAAGGCCCGCTTCTCCGCTCCCTCCGGCGTTCTTTACCCGCGCTCTACCCACCACGCTCCAAACACTGTTCTTTGACGCGAACCTGCGCTCGGTTGGCCCACAGGAGGGCCCCAGTTTAAACACCTGGCCCTCCCGCAACACACGCAGCGAAGCGAGGCCGCCGGCGCAGCATACTGACAGGTGAGGCGCCGGGCGTGTGTGGAGCCCGGGGGCGGGCCTCCCGCGGCGCCAGACGGCGGGCAGGCCAAGCGTCTGCACCCGCGCCCACCGGCGCTGCGCGCCCTCCCGTGCCGCCCCTGGGCCCTGTCATGCCCGACAGGGCCCAGGGCGGCCGGCTAGAGGTCTCGGGGCGCCGCACGCCCGACCGCGTGTGGGAGTCTCACTCACAGATGCCCCACAACAACCGCGCGTGCCCTGCGTGCAGGGGCGCATGTCGCTCTGCGGCATACAACTTAGCAGCACGCCGCCCCTCTCCGCGCCAACCCCCAGCCCGGCGGCGCGCTCGGGGGGCGGCAAGCGCGGCGCCACGTTAGTCAGCTTCCGCAGCGGGCTCTCAGACCACGAGGCGGGCAGCTTCAAGTCGGGACTCAGCCGCAGCCTGACAGCCGATGGCGCGGGCAGCCTGTCGCTGAGCCGCTCGCTGGGCGGCCGCGGCCGCACGACCAGCGTCGAGGGCGGCAGCGGCGCGGGCGCGGCCGCCTTCAGCGCGCTCGCCTCCGCCTCCGCCTCCAGCTGCGCGGCGCGGCCGCTGCAGGCCACCGCCAGCATCCCCAAGTCAGCCCAGTTTGTGAAGATCGAGGGTTTCGCCACGCGGGACAGCTCGCCCGCGGGGTCGGCGCCGCCCTCGCCTCAGCAGCCCCGTGTCCTCTCCTCCCTCCTCTCCCGTCAGCTCTCCACCGACCGCCTGCCCATCCTGGGCTCCTCCGGCGGCAGCCTGTCCAGCAGCCTGGCAGCCAGCTGCGGCAGCGGGGCGATGCTGGGGGGCAGCATGCCCGTGGGGCTGGACGACCCTGTGTTGGGCCTGGCGGCGCGGCTGGAGGGCGTGGTGCGGGTGGGGCCCGTGCCGCGCCCCGCGCCCCTTGCCCGCACCCGCTCCTCCATCCCGGACAACCTCCTCCAGCATCTGCAGCACAGCTACGCCGTGTTCCGAGAGCCGGTGTGCGTGCGGGCCTTTGGCATCGCCCGCGCCGCGCACGACGGCAAGTACCGCGCCAGCGGCGAGCCCGCGTTCATGCACTGCGTGGAGGTGGCGCGCATCCTGGCAGAGCTGGGCGCCGACGAGGGCACCGTGTCGGGTGCGCCTGCCAGCCTCCACAGCTTCCCGGCTCGTGCCCGGCAGGGTGGCGGCGGCGGCGGCGGGGGACGGGTGTGGTAGCTTGCGTTTGGCACGTTGCGCCGCAGCAGCCAGCAGCCACCCCGCTTCCACACTTCCACGCATGCCCTCCCTCCGCCCTGGTCCCCTGCCCGGTCCTCACGGCCTCCCCCTCGGCTCTGCCCACCCCCGCCCCCTGCAGCCGCGCTCCTGCACGACGTTCTGGACAAGACACTGCTGGTGGAGGCGCAGCTGAGGCCCATGCTGGGCGACGACGGCGTGGCGGAGCTGGTGAAGCAGGTGGCGCACCTGGGAGACATTTCGTCCAACTACCGAGCCTGCCCCGCAACCTCCCCAGAGGGCCAGGCCCAGCTGTCCAGCCAGCTGGTGCGCAGGCAGCCCGCGCGTGCTGCTGTACTGCCGCGTCCCGTGTGCATGCCGCCGCCGCGACGTCGCGCCCGTAGCGTCCGGCCCTGTGGCAGCACAGCCTGGCAGCCGGCAAGGAGGGAAGGGAGGGATGCTGCCTGGTAGCCGCCGCCCAGCCCGCCTGCCCTCCTCCCTCCTGGGTACGCCTGCGGAGCCTCCTTCCCCCACCTGTCCCTGCACCTTACCTCACCTGCCACCCCCCGCCTCTCCACCCCGCAGGTGGGCATGCTTGTGGCCATGGGCTGCAACCACGCCCTGCTGGTCAAGCTGGCCGACCGGCTGCACGACATGCGCACGCTGGGCGCGCTGCCCGCCGCCAAGCGCAACCGCCTCGCCCGCGAGACGGTGGATGTGTGGGCCCCGCTGGCCAACCGCCTGGGCGTGTGGAGCCTCAAGGCGCAGCTGGAGGACCTGGCCTTCAAGCAGCTCTACCCGGGACAGGTGCGCAGCGGCAGGCAGCTGGTAGCGAGGAGCGGCGGCTGCGGCCACGCAGAGCGCAGCGGCGGCGGCCAGCGGGGCATGGGGCTGGGAGAGAGGAGAGCAGAGGGCACGCTGCCCGCGCCCGCAAGCTGGCTGCCGTCCCTGCCGCCACGCCGTCGCCCGCCCCCCCGCCTGCACTCATCCCCTGCCGCCTGCCCCCCTCCCGGCCCCGCCCGTACCTCTTCCCTGTGCAGTACGCCGAGCTGCGCGCGCGCCTGGAGCAGGTGCAGAGCGCCGACGTGCTGGTGGGGCTGATGGACCGCATGCGGGCGGAGATGCAGCGCCAGGGCATCAGGTGCGGGGCGCAGGCTGGCAGCTGGGCGGGGCGGGGCGGGGCCGGCCCAGCGCTGGGCAGGTGCAGGCCCGGGCACAGTCCCAGCTGCTGCCGCCTCTTCCCTCCACCCTGCTTGCCTGCTGCTCCCC